GAGCCTATTGAACGGCTATTGAAATGAGATTATTTTGTGTGTGACTTTGGGACTGATTGAGGAAAAGAATGAAGCCATAAATGGCTGGAAAATAGGTAAATACAAAGGGCGTGCTGCCCAGGAAAATAGGCAAATACAAAGGACGTGCTGCCCAAATTTACGCTCAAGGGCTAGGTAGATTTACTTGCGACTCGAGTAAAGTTTGAGAGCGAATACCACGTGAACCATCTAGGATATTTGCATCTTCTTTTATTGAGGGATATAAGTTAGAACTTATCCGAAACTTGTACCCTTGAAAAAATGAAATTTACGACTAATAGAAATACGTTTTCTTTGTCACTTCGACTCAAATGGAGATTTTAAAGTTTTACGAGTGAGCATAAGTTTTACAAATATTTTACTTATGTCCTTTGGTTTAAATGTACTCTTTTCACTTCCAAAACCATATTTATACTTTATACTCGTACGTATTCGAATTTTCTTTGAATCACTTAAATCTTTGATGGTTGAAATATAATGTGTTCTTTTGATTATATTAGGGTTCCTTAGTGATTGAGGGTGTTATCCGGAAAGATACTTTGGACGTTATTTTGCTTAAATAGGTGAGTGTCCTTTGTTTGTTATGTTTCCGTGAACTATATGATTTGTTGTGGATATTTGATTAAATGATAAATGTTTGTTACAAATGAATTTTGCTGGGCGAGTGTGTACTTTATCGCACTCGACCTAAATGAAATGTGAAATTTTCAATGTTTAAGTGATTAAATGTTAGTTGTGCATCAATGTAAGCCTTTTGGCTGAATTGGGCCCTTGCCCTTTGTTGCTGGTCAACTCGAGCCAGAAGCGGACTCGGTCGGGCGATATGGTGACCTTGGGTGAAAGTTTGGTATACTCGAGTATTACCACGTTGTTGGGTGGAACCTGGCCAATGTCCAGAAGGGGGAAGAATGAAATGAATGAACGAGTGACAATGTTAATGGAGGGGTTTTCACTTACAAAATGCATTTTAAAATGATTGGAGGAATAAGGAAATGAAAGGTGAATGAAAGAACGAAAGGCTCTATGTGAGCATGTATCCTTTTAATGAATGTGTTATCATTGCTTCATATTGTAAATGTTTCCTGGATTACTTGTTATTACATGATTAATGTCCTTGTTTAAGTTGATTATGTGTCTGGAACATCACTGAGCTTTTAACTCATTCCGTTTGTTTTGTTTTCCTTACAGGGATTACGCGCGAGGGCATGAGATCTGTGCAGACTAGTCTGGACTAGTCCTTTTGAATTTTGTTTTGTTGATTTTCTCACGCTTGTGCTTGAATAGGATTGGATGTATTAAGAACTGAGAACTTTCATTTTTTTTTGGGATTGTATATTATTTTGAGATAGAAATGAATGTAAGTTTGCATTTCAAGTTTCAGAATTTTTCTTTTCTTATCCTTACGGTTATTTCTTATTTCTTTTGAAAAGTTTGAGTGAGAGCTGGGTAGGCGACCCGCCGAACCCTGGGGTACGCCCTAGGAGAAGGTGGGGCCGTCACATGATGTATAGTCCCTATTTCTTCAGGTGCTCAAGCGAGTCTTGTAGAGAATCTCGGAGGGGATAACTGAAGACTTTACTCGTTCAATTACTTTTGAAGTGGTGAGTGTCAAATGCATAAATTGTTGTATTTACTTGATTAATCTTACTCGTATACATGAACATGACTTGTTGAGTCGAGTGGGTACTTTATCGCACTCGTTCTCTTTTACTTGATTATATTATTAACTTGCTCATACGAGAAATTATACTCGTGTTTGACTCAATGTCGATTGGAGTGAATCTCATCGACCTATACGTGTACTCGTGGGGAACGTCCAAATCTCATTGGCTAACCTTGCGACTCGAGCCGGCATGGGCTTGGTCGAGAAGCTCATTGAACCATGAGAATATTAAAACAAAACTTGATCTTTTGAGATCTTGTTCGGCATACTTGTATAGTATTGCCCTTTTCGTGCGTGTTTGGTTACGGATCCAAGAGGGTGAAATGATGGTTGGAGGAAGTAAGTGGAGTTTCTACGGACTTAATACCTACTCGGTTGACGGAGTGTCATATCGTTGAGGTATTGGATCGAGTCTCGACAAAACAAGTGGAATTTACCTCCGGAGAGCTCCAGTTTCCTTATTAATCGTGTTTTATTATTAATTGTGAATTACTTGAACATTCTAGCTTTAATTCTTGTACAAATGTTATTGCTACTTGAACTATGTGTTTGCATGTTTTCTTGGTCACATTGAGCATTCACTCACCCCATTAGTTTGTTTTCCTTAACAGGAGCTCGGATTGGAAAGAATTTTGGAGAAGCCGACCTGATTACTTTTAATTAGAATTTTTGGATGTAATTGATTAGTCGACTTCTAGTGGTTGTATTTTGGAAAAAGTTGATGTACTTTTGGTGACTTATGATGTAAGATTTGAATGTTTCATTAAGGAAGCGACTTTTCTTTACTTCGACCTTTATTATTTTAGTTGTTTGTCCTTAAGTTTGAATTTGACTTGTATCGAGTCCTGGCGAGAGCTAAACAGGCATTCCGTGGATACCCTTGACTTCGCCCTAGGGAGAAGTGGGGGCGTCACATTATTGAATTCTTTTATTATTTAAACGGTCACAAGTGCAAGAAATTAAATCTACACTATGACATGTAATAAAAGGAATAAAAATAACAATAAAAACTTGTAGAACTATAGAATAGCTAACTACTTTTGCCAATAAAATTACTAGTTAAATGAGTGGTATTATCTTGGTTAGTTATGGCGCAATTTCCTAATGTACGCGATGTTTACTCTCGTCAGTGTACCGACCATACCTATAACTAATCCATATCTACTCTTATAGTTATGAAATTAACTATAAGTTTATTAAATTCTACAAAATTACAAAGGTGCACTTCTACTCTCATAAGCGTGCTCTCTAGGTTCAACACTTTTTTGAACTAGTATTAAATCTCAATTTTGATTACAAATTTAACACTTCGAAATTATCACAGCTAATGAAGAGTTAATCATGATTAGATAAGCAAAAGTACTCAATAACTTGTTCAAATAATAGCATCAAATAATCAAATAAATATCACAAATAAGATATAACAAGTTCATCCATAACTTTAGATATAAACTTTAACAAAACGTGACGAAATTAAAGCAAATAACAAACTTTTATTATAGCTAAGCATTGGAATCTAATATAAGAATTAGGGATAATTGCAGAAACCTCCCCTGAGGTTTCTACTACTAGCATTGACCTCCCCTATAAATTTTGAAATAGCATTGACCTCCCCTAAAAAAATTGGAGCCAATTGAAAAGGTAAAAATGTGTGAATTTACTAGAATACCCCAATTATTTTCACTTTACCAGATGAAAGGTTTAATTACTTTCATCAAAACCAACAAAATCCTTTGTTAAACTAATTAAACTAAACAAACTATTTCTGCATAGTTAAACTAATTCACCTGGCCAACTAATTAACTAATTAACTAAAGCTGTTGTCTGTTCGAAACTGAACAAACTATTTGCATGTTAAACTAATTAAACTAATTAACTAACTAACTAAAGCTGGAATTTGTCCGTCCAGCTCTGATGCAGAGTTTAAGAGAGTGAGAGGAAGATGGCACCAATTGCTGAGAAAGATGGCGCCATGAATTGGTGCCAATTTGTGACAAGTTGCTCTTGAGGTGACAAGCTGCCTACTTGCAGCATAAGAGAGTGTGACTTGCTGATAAAATTGTGACCATTGAGAGAAGGAAGCATAAGAGAAGAAGCTTACTGCTTTTGCTTAGTTCATGGGAGGAGTAGTATCTGTGAGAGATAAACAGCAAATGATAGGTGAGCTAGGATCCAATTTTGAGCATCTGCTGCAGTTAATTCGTAAGAACTGAAGTTGAGTAGGTAAATGATTCCTAATGTTGTCACTTGAATGCATAAAATTTGCACGTTAGCTCTTGTATGATACTAAGGCTGTGGCTAACTGCAGTGAATGCATGTTTGCTCTTGCATCATGAGTTGAATGTGTTAGTAATGATCAAAAACAAATGTGATGTTATTGTCAATAATAATCAATGGCAAATGTGATGCTATTATAGTTGTTTTCAGACTTGCTGTTGTACTATGCCTACACTTTAAGACTTGTTACCCCTGTGATTTTGGTTGTTTAAGACATGTTTATCAACTGTTTGATGTCTCATGATCTATTTTTTGATCTTCACAGCTCTTGTATAAATATGGCGTATTGAACAGACTTGTCTGAGTTCATGACTGGTCATCAGTGTAAATATAAGTGTCCAAACTAGATACAATTATCTGCTGTTCTGATTTCCTCTTTGCTCAGTAACTATCACTTGTGAAACTTAGGATGGCTCTTCTTCCTGCTTATGACATAGTTGTCCGTTATGAGGGGAAACAAGTGAGAATTCCATATGTCGATCCAATTAGTTACTGTTACATTAATTTGCTGTTTGATGTTGCTGAGAAGGTATTCAGTGAAGTCCCTGGGCATCTGAATAAGTTAATACACCTGAGGTGCCTAATTCCTAAGACAGGTTGCATGTTTGATATTGTAGATGATGATAGTGTTAGTAATGTTCTTAATGCATAAGTTTGATATGGTGATTAATGTTTTAGTGCTGGATATGGATGTTATTCCGAGTGATAAAACCAATCAGATGAATGATGCAAATGGTCATAACACTGATTTGAACTTAGGAGAAAAAGGAAAGGACAATGTATCTGAACTGGTTACAATTGATGATTCTGAGGGTGAATATAGTGATTCCAGCTCTGATTCAAGCTGGCTGCACAGCATAGATAGTGACCTTGAGAAGGATATAGGTGTTGATAGTGCCTCTGTGGCAGGTAGTGATCAAAGTGACATGTCCTTTTGATGACAATGAGGAGAGTGATATAGTTCCGGATTCTGAAAATGAAGAAGAAACTGACCCTATTTAGCAAGCTTTGAAATAAAAAAATGTGGACGTATAACCCAAAAACAGACATAGAGTTTAATAAAGGACTGCTATTCACTAATGTCGATGCATTTAGAGCAGCTTTAAAGGACTATGTAATTCAGAAAGGATTTCCAATTATGAGAGTGAAGAATGAGAAGAGCAGAGTAACTGCAATTTGTGGAGTTGAGGGATGCAAATGGAGAATCCATGCATCACCAATTACAGATTCCATGACCTTTATGATTAAAACTTATCAAGGTGAACGCACATGTGTGATGGATAGGAAGAACACACAAGCTACAGCTGACTGGATTGCCAAGAAACTAGTACCAGTCATGAGAATTCATCCTAACATGTCCATCAAAGGGGTAGAAGCAGAGATGATTAAATATGGTGTGCATCCAAGCAAATGGCAGATTTATAGAGCACTAACTAAAGCAAGAAATGAGATTGAAGGAAATCACAGTGAATCATACACCAAATTGCCAAAGTATGCAAAACTCCTCAGGAAATACAATCCACACAGTATCTGCAAAATACATTATGATAGGCCTACTCTTCTTGTTGAGCCTAGATTTCTAAGAATCTTTATTAGTTTCAAAGCTCAAAGAAGTGGATTTATTGAAGGCTGTAGACCTTTTGTTGGTTTTGATGGATGTTTTTTAAAAGGTCTTTTTGGTGGTGTGCTTCTCACATCAGTCACCTTAGATGCTAACAATAGCATTTTTCCTATTGCATTTGCTGTGGCTGAAGTTGAAAATAAAGAAACATGGAGTTGGTTTTTTCATTATTTTGAGGAGTTTTTTGGGCCATTTGGAGATAATGGTCCTCTAACCTTCATGAGTGACAGGCAAAAGGTATGCAATTTTTGCATTTCTGGAATAATCAATGTACGCTTGTGTAACTGTTAGCCATCAGTGTAACTTATTTGCATGTTTTGGTGCTGTTTTCAGGGCTTGAATGTAGCTTATGAAGAGGTAGTGCCTATTGCTAGTGGAAGGCATTGTTGTAGGCATATCTGCAACAATTTTAAAGCTCAATTTCCTGGTATTCTGCTTAGTAACCTGTTCTGAAGAGCAGCAAAAAGCTTTGATGTTGCAGGACATAATGAAGCCATGGCCAGCATAAAGGAGCTAAACATAGAAGCTTGGAAATATTTGGACAAAATTTCCAAACCAACTTGGTATAGATATACCTTTAATACTGGACTCAAATGTGATCATGTCACAAATAACTGCACAGAGTCCTTTAATGCATGGATAGGTGAGCTAAGAGGGAAACCTATCTTGACACTAGTTGATGGGCTGAGGAACAAGTTCATGAAGAAAATGCATAAGAGATATCAGAAAGGGTGCATGCTCACCACTACTGTCACACCAAAGATGGTTGGTAAACTACAAAGAATAGGACAAGCATCAAGACAATGTGAACTGACTATGGCTTCTGATGACGTTTTTGAAATGGGGGATATGTACAGGTCTTACATAGTCAATTTAGCAGCTAAAAGTTGTGATTGTGGAGCATTTCAAATTTTAGGACTTCCTTGTAAACATGCTGCATTGGGGATTATCTACAAGTGACAAAAGCTGGAATCCTACTGTGAGCATTGGTTCTCAAGAGATATGTACTCAAAGACATATGCAAGTATGATTCATCCAATTCCTGATGAGAAAATGTGGCCACCTATGCCACATGTTACCCCTGCAGCAGTCCTGCTTCCTCCATTGAGGAGAGCTCCAGGTAGACCAAAGGTGAAAATGAGAAGAGAACATGATAAAGGACAGTCTGCATCACAATCAAAAAGATAGAGCAGGTTCAACAGTGAAAACTGTGGCTCTTTTGGTCACAACAAGAGGTCATGCCAAAGAGCACCTGTCCAGAAGAGGAATGGCAACATTTCACCTGGCCAAAAGGTGATATAAAGCTCAATTTGTCTTTGAATCTGATTATTTTATACTCAATTGATGTACTTAATGTTAGCTTATTGCTTAATAGCAGAGCTATAGAAGAGGCAAACCAGGAAGAGGGCCTGCAAACATAGGCCTGTCAGGAGCAACTCTTTGGGTATAATTTTTTTTATTTAAGCTTCTGATTGTAACATTTACAGCCAAAGCCTGTTTGATGCTAAAACTACTTGTCCATGTACACTGCTAGGATCATGTCTCTGGCAATGTTCCAGTTGTACAGTCAAGCCAAGGAAGCAATCCTTCTCCTTCAAGTCAACCTGCAACTATGAATGTACACCAGCAGAAAAAGAGCACAGCAACCACTTCAAAGAAAAAGGTTCATTCAAATGACTGCATTTTATACATGCTTCAATAAAATGCTCTCTTGTGTAATGTTCAATCTATTCCAATTGTGCAGAGAGGAAGGCCATTGTCATCTACTGGAGCATCTGCTAGATGGAGCAGCAAGAGAAACAACTCAAATACTACTCAGATCACTCAAACTGTGGAACAAGCTGCAATTTAGCAAATTGCTGCATCTCAAGTTGCTTCAGCTGCATCTCAATCAATCAATGCAGCTACAACACTGCACTCAACAAATGTTAGCAACAGCAACAGTTTCAGTATGCAATTCTGATGCATACTCTGTAGTTTTGGGAGGTGAATGCTTACTGCACTCAGATCACTCAGTAGTATATTATTAATTAGGTACAAGAGACGAATATTTTGTACATGACTTCAGCAGATTTATATGTTTCAGCTGATAGGTCTTTGCAATCCTCACCATCTGTTCTAAGTCCTTTAATGCAGCAGATGGTGTTTTGAACTGAAGTGGATTGCTCAGTCATGCTTTTGTATCTTCTGATTGTTCTGGTTAGCTTTTGTAGTAATTCAATCACAATTCTGATCAGACTTGTTGTATTAATGGATTTATCTTATAATGCAAGTACTATTCGTATCTGCTTTATTTTGTATTCTTGGATGAAGTGGATTTTGTACTCATGACAGTAGATGTAAACTGAACTGGTTGAATTTAAAATGTAAACTACACCTGTTGCTGCATACATGATGAATAACTTGTTCCTCTCCAATGTCTTACAACACCAATTCAAACTACAGCAACAACTTATATTCACTAATCTACATTTCTAGATGCACATCACCCTATTGACTTCACAATATGGATGAAAACATAAACAGCAACAAATATGAGATTGATGATGAAAAGTATGTTGACTGCTACATTTATAGCCGCTGCACTTGTCACTACAATTGGCATTTCCCTTTGTATTTCCGTAGACCTTTGTAGCTGTTGTTGAGATTGCAGCACTGAATTGGTGTCATAATTTCTACTATTGACCTTTTCAGCTTCAGGACCCTCATACCACTGGGAGTACTTGCATTTTGCGCAAAAAAAATATAACTTGTTGAGGTTGTTTTCAGTCTCAGAGATCTTCAATGTGGCCTTTCGATTGCACCAGTAATATTTGTTTTGTATTGTGAAGGATGTTGGGGAGTTTCCATGATGCTCTCCAGCTAGAAGAAGCCATTCTCTTTGTTGCAAAATTTTACCTCAAACTGCCAAACTGAAAATGAAGCAAGCTGTGTTTTGTGTTGGCAATTTGTTGCTCATTATTTTCCCTAGTAATCCTGGTATTCATGCATGACTTTCCTCTCGTTTATAAGGCAGTGCAAGGAACTGCACATTTAGCTGTTAAGTAGCCGTCGGTTTCTCAACAAATGGTTACTGCTGTAGGTCTGCATCTGGAAGCATGATATTGCATTTATACCCCCTAAACTTGCTTGATCCTTAATGCCTATGCCTCTCCCTTGTTAATACTACTTGTCAAGCAAGATCAAGGCAAATTTGGAAGAAATTTCTTATTTCACTTCTACAAATAATTTTTTAATGGGACATCAACCTGCCTGGACTGATTCTGCAACAAATTGTTCCTGTTCAGGGGTGCTGTATGCCATTTCTAAACCTAAAGGGGAGGTCAGTGCAAGTGTCAGTAGTTTCAGGGGAGGTTTCTACAATTTTTCCTAAGAATTAAAGAGTTGGAAAAGAAGAAACCCCCTATTGATAGCATCATAGTACGTGGGCACGCCAACAATGGGTCGAGTGATCGAGAGGCCGAGGACCGCATGCAAGCTCCAAACGGGCCTATCACTAGGGCTCATGCAAAGAGACTTCATGAGCATCTCAATGTACTTGTACAGGCCATACACAAGTCCTTTGAGGGATTCATACACTCCAGTGAAGGTGATCGAAGTCCGGTATTGAGCATTGAAGCTATACCAGAGGTTTAGGGTTTTACCAAACCTCGTTTCTCATTTCAGTAGTTTCATTTATTTACATGTTAGTTTGATTAGCTTGAATAATTGGCTAAGTGCATGTTGCACATAGAATCGCCAAGAGTAGGATTGCTATTTTGTTCATCACTATATGTTAAGGTGGGCTGCCTAGGAAGGAAAGCCCGCATGAAGCCCTATCCGTCGAGGGTTGAGGCCGTCGTTTCCTTTTCCGTTTCCTTCACTAGTTAGGGCCCATACCAGCCGCATCTTTAGCTTTACTTTCCTTATCAGATTAGGTATTACTTGTACCTTATACAAGGGGCCATAATACATCAATAAAAGGGGAGACACTTTTATCATAAATCAAGTGAGATAATTTTCTAGCTTTCGAGCATCCCTTGAACAACTTAGAGTTATACTCTAGTGTTCTTGTTGGCTTATCAATTCAAGAATCACACTTGAGTTGTGGCGCCTTCTACACTTGCCTGAGGTTCGCTAATTCGTTTGATTACGGGTTGAGATAATATCAACAAGTTCGTAGTCACGGGGATTAGAGGGGTCGTAGGGTTTCCGCTGCTACCTTCCTTGGTCGTCAATCACAAATCCAACAAGCGACCTTGGGTCATGAATTTTTGTCGCCAACGAGATTCGTATCAGCTGGCATTAGAGCTAGTTGTTGGTAACATCATTTCTTCCTCGTTTCGTGTCTGAATTTGTGTTTGTCTCGTTAGTTCAAAATCTAGTCGCACATTACAATCTGTCCGCGAGACTCCATTGATTTCAAATTCTGGTCGTCTTTGTTGAATCTGTATTGCTGTCGTTTGAACTTCTGGAATTTCTGAGAGTTCATTGTGTCGTGTTTGGTTTAGTTGTGTGTTGATTTCATTGCTTGTTAACAAAAAAAAAAAAATTCTGCTCGCTGTCTTCCCCCAAGTCGCGAAGTGCAGCTTTTGAAGTTTCCAAATTCTGTTTGTGTTTCTTGTTGAGTTGTGGGTGTTGCTAAATCTGTTCTTGACCTGTCCCTTAGTTGTTCATTATCTAGGAAAGTAGTGGTACCTTGTTCTGGAATTTTGTAGGCAAAATTCACGATTTCTTGGAGTCCTTGAAGAGATTCTTGACGCTTTGAAATCTGGAAATTTGTAGCGATCTTCCTGGAGTTATTTGCTGGAAATTTTGTGTTAGGTTTACAACACCTGATCGTTAAAGGTTGGCCTATACCTGGAGCTGAACCTTGACCCGTTTGGGAACCAAAACCTAGCCTACACGATTGCAAAAACCACCAACAACAGACCGCAACCAAACTCAGCCAGACCTGGGAAATTTTGGGTAACCACGCCTGTGTTCATCCGAAGTTGCTGTTGTACAAAAAAAAAATGAAACAAACACAGTAAGCAAATTTTGAAACAAAAGAGTCTTGAATACTATTATTGAATTAGGGAACTCAAACAAGAAACTAGAGTTCGGTTGGGAATCAATTGCCGATTACATTGAGCCTAGTCTACATTCAAAAATTCTGATCTACAACTTCTTGGATTTCTTGAGATTCTTGAACCTTGAAAACCTGTAGCTTTCGTTTCTTGAACAGTTTCTTATACTCTCGAGCATCTGTGAAGGGTCTTCGAGGAGTTCTTGAACTTTTCTTGGGAGGTTCTTGGGTAACCCGAAGGGAGGGAGCCCGTGGGGGGACTTGAGTGACATCGTGATTTTGCGACTCCATCCGGCTTGTTGTTCTTGCTTCTTGTGAGTTGAGCAGCCAGCGAGAGCCGATTTAATTCATCCAACACCCCAGCCTTTGTGCACTTCCAGAACACCTGGGAAGAGGGAACCATTCGGCTGAGCAACTAGAAAAGAAAAAGGAAATAGCCGCTGCCAGACTTCCAAACCTAACTGGTTTCTAAAACCAAAAAGGTTTCCAAAACAACACCAAGTGGCCTTCCAAGTCACTTTGTTCCCCATTTTGTAGCCGACCCTTGCCTAGAATTGCTCCTAGGTTGTATCCGCACCTCTGCAAAAAGGAAAACCAGCACCTTGAGTTGGCTAGAACAAGAGTAACCTGACCAAAAAATCCAGCAAAACAAAAGGACTATTTTCCTTGTCGGTCAGGACCTTCGAGCGTCAATCTTAATTTTTTGTAGCTTTTGAGTCCATTCTTTTTCCAATTTTTATTCCTGAATATATTCTACCACTCCACTCTGAGTGTCCTAATTTTGTTTTCCAAGAAAATCTCTACTCTTACGAACCTCAAATTCTTGCGTGAACTTAATTTTTAAGCATAATTTGAGCACTTGAGGAAATTCTAATTTCTTGAAGGTCTTGCAAGGGGCTGTGAGAAAATTTTG